ATTCTGCATGGTAAGAGCTTATCAGCGTACCTAAACGATGAGTGTACCTAAACGATCAGCGTACCTAAACGATGAGTGTACCTAAACGATCAGCGTACCAAAACGTTCGGCGTACCTAAACGATCGGCATACCTAATGATCGGCATACCTAAACGATGAGCGTATCTAAACTATGAGCGTACCTAAATGATGCTAAAGGGGAATTGGCTATAGTGGCCTCACAACTCCACAGTTGTGGGGCTAATTCCTGCCTGCGCTTTCACCACGAGGAGGCTTCATTTCCTGCCTGCATGTAGAGTGACCTTCTGCACATGTATGTGGTGTGATCCACTGGAATGCAATGAAATTCTGTACATGTATGTAGTTTGATGGTCTGGAGTGCAAGCAAAGTTCTGCACATGTACGTAGCATTATCCTCTGGTGTTCATGTGAAGTTCTGTACATGTATGTAGTATGATCCTCTGGACCATGAACTTCAATATATGTATCGTGACTTCAAGGGCCTGGTCTGAATAAAGGTGAAATAATGGTCAGATAAGTAGTTGTTTTGGAGAATTCGGAAATCCACACTGCAGATTTTAATGGAAGAAGTACATCATAGGTCATTGATGTCAGGTGTTACAGCAGTAAGACCATTTTAATAGTCTTTCTGTCACCCCCACCCCACTGCCCCGCCCTGTCAGATTATGTCTGGCCTCTGCCGAATGCCCTCTGCCCCATCTGGATCTACCTGGATGTGCTCTTCTCCACCTCCTCCATCATGCACTTGTGCGCCATCTCTCTGGATCGATACGTGGGTATCCGCAACCCCATCGAGTACAGCCGCTTCAACTCGCGCACCAAGGCCATGCTAAAGATCACCGTCGTCTGGACCATCTCCATCGGTGAGACCGAGTCGTTACTCTGGCTGAGTGCTGGGCTGGGGAATTTGCAGCTGCCGATGCACTTAAAGTCACCAGAGCATCATGTCTGCATGTGACGAGGCAATTACTGCCTGAAAGAGGTAGTGGATTTACGTACAAGCACTACCTGCAAAATTTCACGTAAAAATTTGTATGTAAGGGATAAACCATGACGAGGTGTGCGGTTATAGGAAAATAAATGGTGCACCATGACTACCGAACAAAAAAATAGTAGAATAAATTAGATATTCATTTTTCAAAAATATAGTCTGTATAAGGATAGAACATCTGGTCAGGTTACTCAGTGGAAGCAGGATGTCCATTACGTTACCATAGAAACCGTAAACAGACATGCGTTTGCCTATTGAAAACCAAGAAAGTTATGCTGATAAGAATGGTTACTTATTTATGAGTAAAAGGTAACACAGGTTTTTATATTATCATGTTTAATAAAACATAATTACATACTAATATGGAACTGTTATTAGGCTTTCGGAATTACCTCGCACATTACACAAAAATGATCAACACCCATGTGACATCCCTGGACCAATAAGAAACAGTATTTACCAAAGCCGTGGAATGAATATAGATATACACTCACCTAAAGGATTATTAGGAACACCATACTAATACGGTGTTTGACCCCCTTTCGCCTTCAGAACTGCCTTAATTCTAC